GAGGCGTTTATCCATAATATGGAGGCCTTGCCTCCATAATATATATATATTTTTTAATATATACTAAAATTATTATTATTTTTTAATGTTGTTGGCATGATGCGTGTATGGAAGAATATTTGTCAATCACCATAAATAAAATTCTTTACAAAATGTAAAACATAGACATGCATAATAAATCTTCTTATTACGCTAATAAAATTATAATAAATTTTTTTATTTTTACAAATAACATAAAAAAATCATTTTTATTTTCAACAAAAAAAACACATTTAAAAATTAACAATTTCATAACCAATTTCTTTTTTTAATTTTTGGAAACACAATTATAAAAAAAAGAAACAATATTGAATTACAACATTTAATACTTAAAAAATTCAATATTAAATAAATTTTATACATTTATAACAAATTATAAATTCATATATGCAGCTTACCATATTTGCAGGCAGGTTACCGTATATACTACCTACCGTATTTACAAACAAATTACCTTATTTGCACTTTACCGTATATATTGTCTACCGTATTTGCAACTTGCTGTATTTTTATGTATAGATTTTTGCACTTACAAATACCGAGAATACAGAGTACCGTACATTCACTTACCAAATCAAATTTCAAAAAAAAATTCAAATTTTTATTTTTTCAACACAAGTATAAAATAAATATTAAATATATATGAAGCACAAAATATAAATACATATGAATATGGTGCCGAGAGAAATTAGTATCGTAGTTTTACGTTACAAATAAATTTTTTTTGTCAATTTAAAATTCCTTTTAATTCTTTTCTCTTCAAATTTTTTACTTACAAGTAATTTTTTGTAAAATAATTTATGTCTTATACTATCTTTATTTTTTAATTTTTTGGGAGGTATGGAAATTGCGTGTTGCAGTGTTTTCTTATAAATATTTTTTAATTAAAATTGAAAAAATTAAGTTTTTTCATATAGAAAAAAGAATTAAAAAGTATTTTAAATCGAAAAAAATATTTATAATATGAATAAAACAAATAAAAAATAAATAAATGCGGAAAAAAATAAAAAACGAAAAAGAAATCTCCATGCATCCTACGCGAATGTAATGAACCAAATGATTAGATTTCACCAAATACTTCGAATTTTCAATCAATTTTGAAAAATCTACAATTTGGACACTAATAAAAATATAATAAATACAAAATTCGTGCAACGCACGTGTCAAAGACTAGTTCTAAGAAAACCATCGACATCTCATAGAACCGTTTTGAAAAAAAAAATTTAGTTGGACTTTTTGCTGGATTTTAATTAGTCACCCTTTTCAAGATAAAATTTTGTAACCAAAAAATAAATATATTAAATATTTGAACATTAATAAAAAATTGAGAAGTTAAATTTCATTTGTAAGATTTTATCATAAATGATAAGATGATGAGATTTAAACTTCTTTTTGTTCACTTATCTACAATAATTGTGTTTGTCCTAGAGATATATGGTGTGCTGCTACTTTCGGAAACTTGAATATTTGCTATTTTTCTGCTAGACTGCTATTATTATTGTTGAGTTGTATATTTGCTATTTTTCTAAAAATTACTAACTACATATCCTGTATGGTCTAGGCAAATAAAGTGATATACATGATGGATAAGAGTTGGAAGCGACTTCGTAATAGATTAAGTGAAGAATATTTAGATGGTATTAATTCATTTATGGAGGTAGCAAAACAATGTCTGGATGAGAACAATGAGGTTCGCTGTCCACGTTAAAATTGTCAAAATTGATTCTTTCAGTCGCTATATGTGGTAGAATCTCACATATACTACTTTGGAATCTCTGTAAGTTACGAGAGATGGACTTTTCATGGAGAGGAACTTGAGAATAATATGGAGGGTGATGAAAGAAATACATTTGAATTGGACGAAGAAGAAAATGATGATGAGATGAATAATATGTTAGAAGATCTATGTACTCCCATGTCATCTAAAGCTAACCAAACTTGGGAGGAGGAAGAACATGATGGAAATCATAATTTCTCACCTTAAAGGCCTAATGAAGAGAGCAACCAATTTATGGAGATTATAACTGAAGCCCAACGAACTTTGTTTCCTGGCTCTGGAATGTCATTATTGAACTTTATGGTGAAGTGAATGCATATAAAAGTTTTGAATCAGTGGAGTAACAAATCTTTTAACATGTTATTGGAATTACTAAAAAAGGTTTTTCCAGAAGATTTTGGATTACCAACTTCAACATATGATGTCAAGAAAATGCTAAGTGAATTGGGATTAGATTATGAGACTATTCATGCATGCAAGCATGATTGTGTATTATTTTGGAAAGAGCATGAATTTGCCATTGGGTGCCTAGAATGTGATGAACCATGATACAAACCTAATTTTGGAAAGGGAAAGAAGGTGTCTCAAAAAGTATTGAGATATTTTCCATTGAAAAAAAGATTATAGAGATTATTCATATCGAGACATACTGCTAAAGATATAAGATGGCATGCAAAAGGCCGAGTTGAAGTAGAGGGTGTTTTAAGACATCCAGTTGATGGTGGGGCATGGAAAGAATTTGGCAAGTAATATTAGGCCTAGCAACATATGGCTTCAATCCATTTGGAAACATGCATAATTCCTACAGCATGTGGCCTGTTGTTCTAGTGCAATACAATATGCCACCGTGGAAGTGCATGAAAGAAATATTTATTATGATGTCATTTATAATTCCAGGGCCACATGCACCAGGAAGAGATATTGATGTTTATTTGAGACCACTAGTAGATGAGTTGAAAGAATTATAGGAAGTTGGTGTTGACGTGTTTGATGCTTATAGTGTCAAATGTTTTCTATGTGTGCTGCTATAATGTGGACCATTAATGATTTGCCTGCTTATGGAAATCTATCAGGATGGAGCACCAAGGGATAAAAAGCTTGTCCAATATGTAATGAAAATGCTTCTTCGAATAGGGTATGTAGTAAAGTATGCTTTATGGGTCATCGACGTTATTTGCCATTGAACCATCCCTGGAGAAAAAGTAAATTACATGATGGTAAATAGGAATTACGACCACCACCCAAAAAATTATCAGGAGATGATATTTTAAAGTAATTACAGGCTGTGAGGTGTGGGAAACCTGGAAAGCACCCAAGTAATAAAGATAGGAAAAGGAAAGGAACTCCAAATGAGATAAACTGGACAAGAAAAAGCATTTTCTTCGAGTTGGAGTATTGGTCTAAATTGAAACTAAGACACAATTTAGATGTGATGCATATTGAGAAGAACATGTGCGATAATATTGTTGGAACATTGTTGAATGTTGAAGGGAAGACAAAAGATACGGATAAGGCTAGATTGGATTTGCAAGATATGAACATTAAAAAAGAATTGCATTTAAAACCACATGGTAATGAATTTTTGAAACCTCGTGCTTCTTACACATTCACATTGGAGGGAAAAAAATCGCTTGTAAGTTCTTGAAATTTGTGAAGTTTCCTGATGGATATGCATCAAATATTTCTAAATGTGTTCGAGAAAATGAAGGCAAAATTTCAGGTTTGAAAACTTACGATTGTCATGTGTTGTTGCAACAACTTTTTCTTGTTGTTATTCGAAATTTTTTGCGAAAGGAGGTTTGTATTGCAATTGTAGAACTCTATTATTTTTTTAAACAATTATGTTCAAGAACATTGAATATAAATGATTTAGAGAAATTGGAAGAAGGGATTATTATAATTTTATGTAAACTAGAACGAATTTTCCCACCAGCATTTTTCTATGTAATGGTTCATTTTGCTATTCACCTACCTGAAGAAGCAAAACTTGGAAGTCCCGTTGCATTTAGATGGATGTATCCAATTGAAAGGTAATTGCTAATATTCCATGCATATATACGTGTTCATTGAATTATTATTTTCAAAAAAAATCATGTAATATTTGATGAAAGAATATTATGTCGATATAAGAGTTAAGTTAAGAATAAAGCTCGACCCGAAGGATCAATTGCTGAAGCATATATTGTTAACGAGTCTTTGAATTTTTGTTCAATGTATCTCAACGACATTGAAACAAGATTTAATCGACCTGAGCGCAATGACAATGGTGGGACTACATCTACAAGCTTGTCAATCTTTCTCAAAATACTAGACTATTAGGTCATGCAAAACTAAAGTTACATTCAAAACAAGAAATTCATAAAGCGCATTGGTAAGTCCTAAATAATTGTGATGAAATTCGGCAATATTTAGAGTAAGTTCTTAATCAACTTTTAAATTGTTTTGCTATTAATTACTAATGTGTTGTAGTATTTAATTGCATGTTCCTTTTGTAGTGAGCACATGGAGTTACTGCAACAACAAAATCATGACAATTTGGATAAAAAATAAAAAAAAAATAGAATTGTTTTCTGGATGGTTTGCTTCACATGTAAGTTATAATACATGTCTTATTTATTTATTAATGCAACATAACATTCGTATAAGAAGGTATATTGATTAATATGTTTTTATTATATAGATAACGAGATTATATAATAAAAAAGATTCAGTTGTAAGCAAAGAAATGTATACATTAGCATGTAAACCAGATTTTAGAATATTTTCTTATTCGGGTTGTATCGCTAATGGGGTACGATTCCTTATTAAAGATCGAGATGATTGTCGTACAACACAAAATAGTGGAGTGATGGTGTCGAGAGATGATAACATCAACTTTTTGGTATACTGTGTGATGTTATTGAGTTGGTATACGTTTTTTACTACCGCGTCACTTTGTTCCAGTGTAATTGATACGATAATAATCCAAAGCAAAAAAGAACAATCATAGATTGTCATCTTACTTCTATCAATGTGAATCGTAAATGGTATATGGATGATTCCTATGTATTGTTGGATAACCCCATCAATCTGTTTTTCCCTCAGTGAATGTTTCATTAAAAGTCGCACTTGAAAGTATTAAACAAAAGGAACTTGAAATCTTGTTCATACGAACATGATATTAATGAAGTTGAATTTATTACAGCTGCAGAAAGACCTAGGATTCAGACTAGTGCAGCATATACCTACATTCCAACATATGACAACAACAACATAGAATCCTATGCAGGAATACCTAAGAGAAAATATAGAGGAGTGAGAATGAGGCCATGGGGGAAATGGGCTGCTGAAATAAGAGATCCATGTAAAGCTGCAAGACTTTGGTTTGGGACATTTGACACTGCTGAGGATGCTGTAATAAATTAGTGAAATTTGTGATGGAGAAATAATATGTTATCTAAAAAATGTAATTGCAACATAATTGAATTGTGACCTAGAAATTCTTTATGACCAATTCATTTGATAATTTGTGACTATT